GGTGGGTGGGTAGGTAGGTAGGTAGGGAGGTGCCAAAGCCCGACGTGACCCCAGCGAGCACAGGACTTTTGCTCTGCTTTCACATCGGAAAAGGGGAGCAGAAGCTGCATCACAAAGCCAAGCAGGAGGCAGCAGACAGAGCAAGATTTGTCCAATTTCAGCACGGTTTGGCTTGCGAGCATGGCGAAAGAGCTGTGTTCACTGTGTTCTGTGTCGCGGCTGACGAGTAACAGACACGCTCGAGGCAGCGCAAGAGGGGCTGCACAAGTGATCGGAAACCGGCGCGACATAGGCAGTCTCTGCCTGCGAGAAGATGGGCCACTGGCAATGGGCATTACATCTCCTCAGCACCGCCGTATCTCGGCAACAAAGCACGAAGAGATGTTGAGCTTCTTTGGAATTCAGTGGGTGCCATAGGACTCTCGGTGCACTACGACGATTGCAGATGAGGACGAACTCCTGAAGGCCACAGGTGAAAGGTGAATCAGTTCGGATGCAGTCTTGCTGGTTTGTCGCTTGGCTCCCCCAGACAAGCGAGCTTTCCGAAACTCGGCCAGCTTGGCGAGGCCGATCACAAGCTGCAGCGCAACGCACGGCCCTTGGCACATATCGAGATGAGTACCGGGGCCTCGGGTGGATTTTCGAACGGTTTCAGTGGGGTATAAGCCAAAGCCCGGCTATGGGCTTTTCGTGGCCGGAAAGCAAAGCCCAGCTGATGCTCGTGATGCTTGCCCTGTCCGTTGCCATGTCACCAACAAAACCATTCTGGTGCTTTCGTTGCTTGGGGGACGAGGCAAAGCCCGGCGATCGTTCATGATGCTTGTGCTGTTTGTGGCGACGGAAGGAAATGCTTATGATGCTTGCGCTTTCCGTTGCAAAGTCACCAACGAAACCGTCCCGGTGCTTGCGTTGCTTGGGGGATGAGGCAAAGCTCGGCTGGTGCTTCTGATGCTTGGGCTTGTCGTGGAAGGAGAGCAAAACCCAGCCGATGCTCATGATGCTTGGGCTTTCCGCTGCAACGCCACCAGCAAAACGGTGCTGGTGCTGTCGTTGCCTCGGGTATATACCAAGCCCGGCTGATGCTCATGATGCTTGCTTGGGTTTTCCATCGCCATCGCGATGTCGCCAACAAAATCCGGCTGGTGTTTTCGATGTTTGTGGTATAAGGCAAAGCCCGGCTGATACTCATGATGCTTGGGATTTTCGCGTCGACGGAAGGCAAAGCTCAGCTGATGCTCGTGATGCTTGTGCTTTGGTTGTGACGTCACCAGCCAAACCCGGCGGATGCTCGTGATGCTTGGGCTTTCTGTGTCGACGGAAACCAAAGCGCAGCTGGAGCTCATGATGCTTGGTGACGGAAGGCAGAGCCCAGCTGATTACCATGATGCTTGGGTTGCCGCCGGGATGCCGCTAGCAAAACCCGACTGACTGGTGCTTTCGTTGCTCGCTTGCAGTAGAAGGCTGATACTCATGATGCTTGCTTGGGTTTTCCCGTGTCACGAACAAAAGCTCACAAGTGCTTAATTAGTTTTTGTTCAAAGCCTGGCTGATGCTCACGATGCTTGGGCTTTTCGTGTCGACGGAGGGCAAAGCCCAGCTGATGCTTATGATGCTTGTGCTTTCTGTTGTGACGTCACAAGCCAAGCCCGGCTGATGCTCATGATGCTTGGGCTTTTCGTGGCGAGGCCGCTAGCAAGACCGAAGGCAAAGCCCAGCTGATGCTCATGATGCTTGTGCTTTCGTTGCGACGTCACAAGCCAAATCCGGCTGATGCTCATGATGCTTGTGCTTTCAGTTGTAACGTCGTCAGCCCAACCCGGCTGATGCTCATGATGCTTGGGCTTTGCCTGGCCACGGGAAGGGAAAGCCCAGCTGATGCTTATGATGCTAGCTCCTTCCGTCGCAGACCCGGCCGGTACTTTCATTGCTTGCAGTACAAGGCAAAGGCCGGCTGCTGCTCTGGCGGCAAGACCGTCCCACCACAGTGGTATGCATCGCTGGACTTGGCCATACTCGTAGTCACCGAAAGCTATGACACGTCCCTCTAGCGATTGTAAGAACCGGGCCCGGAAGCAGGCCACTAGTTCAATCATGAGATCCCAACCGTCTCCGAAGGTCGTGACCTACAATGCAGCGATCAGTGCCTGTGAGAAAGGAGGCCGCAGAGGGCTTAAGACTTGGAAACTGATGATGACTCGGCTTATATGGCCCGAATCGATCGCCCCCCCCTCCTCGTGCACCCTCCCGCAATTTCGCAAATCAACCCGTAAATACAGGGTGAGCCCAATGCTCAATGCTCTGCAAAGGCTGCCGCTGGTGAGGTGAAAGGACCATAGCCCAAGTTCAGAATATCGAATCACCCAATGTCTCGCCTGAGAGGAGCAGGGGCAATGATGATATACAGCAGCTTTTGCAACATGCAGGGTGATTGTACTGACGACGGCAAGAAGACGTGCGTACCGCGAAGCACGGAATTGGCAGTATTGCAACCCTGCCAACCCCTCCACACCCGCCGAGCTTCTAAGCCCTTCTAAACTTTTGTTTGAGAAGGAGCCTGGGAAGTGGCTTTAGATCTCCTGCGCACCA